GGGTTAAAATTTCAGTTACACAAGATGAGTGCGTTCTAGAGAACTGCTGTACAATACTGTGCCTACAGCTAACAACACTGTGTCGTACACTTAAAAATCAGCTAAGAAGGTGTGTCTCATGTCACCACGATAACATTTTAAAAACATTTTAAAAAATCAGAAAAATAAAAAACAGCTTGCTAAGCAAATATGAGCTATGAACAGGTCAGGGAGACACACAGCTTCACAGCTTCAGATGAGCAATAATACTCTTCGGTCACTTTGAAAACCATCTTGGCAGAAAGTATTTGCTTTTAAGCAATTAAAGGGTGTATTGAAAATTATTCTTCTCTATTGCTTGAAGAAGGATCTCTGATTGGCACATGTTATTTATGACAAAAATAGAATCGCTTCCACAAAGGCCTACTAGGCTCCCACCATATATACGGCAGATGCTGGGTTGTGGACTGAGAACACAGACGAGCAGCTCCCACTCTGCTCACACGGCAGTCAAGTGGGGTAGTTGTGGGTGGGCACTGGGTGGTCAGATCTGGATTCTAATATTGACTCTGCCACTCGATGGCTTTGTGGCCTTGTGGCCCTGAGCAAGTTGCCTGACCTCCCTGTTCTCCTCTGGAAAATGGGTTGACAGTCTTTAGGGTGTTGTCTGAGTTAAAAGACGCGTAAGTGCTGCGCACGGTGGCTTCCAGGCGGTGAGGTGCACTGTTATCATGAAATGCTACTATGAGGAACGAGAAAAGGCTGGAGTAAGGAGCAGTGACAATGACAGCACCTTCCGGTCCCTCAGGAGGGAGCTGTCTGTGTGCTGGGCTGGGGTTGGGTCAGGGGAGCTTCACAGAGGACGTGACTTTAGCTGGGCCTGGGAGGAAGTAGCAGGGCCAGGAAGGCAGTGACGTAGAGATGACTCCAAGGTTTCAAGCTTGAGTAATTGAGAGAAGGGTTAATTCAAGTAGGTCAGAGTGGAGAAGGAAATGCCCAGGGGACTTGTTCTGGGACAGGATGGCTCCTGGAGAGCTGGGAGGCTTCCAGACTGACGGGGCCTGGGCATGAGTGAGCCCTGGGCCCACAGAGGAGGTAACCCCTGTAAGTACGAGGGCCCAACATGGCCAGTGGGTTTGTGTTTCACTCAGGGGCAGCAAGGAAAGGGGGGCGGGGGTATCAGGGTGGGGGTGGGGGTGGGGAGCAGAAGCAGGGGATGGAGGGGTGGCCGTGACTGTGAGGAAAGGTGACTGGTGAGTTCTGGGGTAGCTTCTGGTTGCAGGGAGGCAGGAGGGGGGGGTGGGTCTGGGCCCGTGTGAGGACCTGGACTGAGCAAGGGGGCTTTGTGGGGCAGCTCTGGCCACATCTTGTTGCAGGAGCCTGAGGTGTGACCCAGGATGGGTCTAGAAGACAGCTGGAAATGCAGGCCTGGGGTGGTTGTGGGAGTTGAGAGGCTCCCAGGGCAGGGTGGGACATGGCCTCTGGGGAAAAGCCTAAGTTTTCCAGCATGGAGGGAGGCAGTGGCAGTGCCTTTGGCTCTAGAAACTTCCATGAGCTGGCTCAACCTGCTTTGGGGATGCTGGTCAGGCCTGGGTCCAGGTGTGTGTGTGTGATAAGGCAGAGGAGGCAGCAACTGACTTTAAGAGTTCAAGGTCCCCAGGGAGCTGGGAAAGGCAACAGGCTTTCCACAGGGACCAATAAGACCCCTAGGACATCCCTTTATGTCCACATCTTTTCTTAAGGCCCCATTTTAGGGAATCTGAGTTCTCTGGTTCAAAGAGTCCTAGATGAGGAGTTCAGGAGCTCCAGGCAGCTCTGGCATGGACTAGCTACGTGTCCCTGGGCAGGGACTTCAGACCATATGCCCCTTTGAGATTAGGCATGTGCTCAGCCCCTAAGCCCCATCAGCCTGTGGGACACCCAGCTCTCTGAGAGCTGCCCCAGAATGAGTCCCCTGGGCATTTCCTTCCATACTCCAGAGCCCTAGTGCACTTAGCTCCCTCTCCCACCATGCCATCCTCCCTAAACTCTCGCAGATGTGGAACCCAAAGCTCAGAGCAGGTAACTCTCCTGAGATGGCACAGCTAAAACCCAGCAGAGCAGCAGCCTGGCCCTAGGGCTGATGCACTAGTTTGGTTTCCTGTTTTACAAAATGGTGAAGGCTATAGGTGGTTTATTTGCTCTTCAAGTTTATTATGAGCATGGTATGGGTCTGTGTTTGTCAAACTGTCCTGAAAAGTCAAGTGCATGAAACAAGTGCGCGTGAGGGGTGGCTCTTTGTCTCTTGTCGGCACAGACCTCCTGGCACCTTCCGGATCTTACACCAGACAGTTTGTACAACCTCGGGCACTGGTAAAAGTGTCCCAGCAGCCGGGCCAGCACTCAACCATAGCCCTGCTTCCTGCTCAGGGGAGCAGGTGACAACAACACCAGGAGGTGTCCAGATCACGAAAAGTGAACGTGTTGGGGCAATTCAGGTCACTGCCCTAGAACAGTGCTGCACGCTGTCTTGAAGTGGGGTGTCAAGGGCACAGGACAATGCAGGTAAGGATGGGAGAACCCTGGGAGGCCAGCAGGCCAGCTCCCTGCTTCCACAAAGGCCGCCTGCCCATCATCCCAAGGGAGGCAAAGGGCAAAGCTGCTAGCCCTCTTGGTAGAGCTGCACTCTGAGCTCAAGACCCTCTGAGAATGAAATAAGGTCAGGAGAGGCCGCAGTCTGAATTGTGAAACAAGTCTGAACTCAAGTGCATTTGTTAGGAATCATGATTTGGCTACATGGAGAGGCAGAGGTTTATGGGCTCACCAAGTGCCCCAGAGAGGCCTGCGTGCTCTGCTTTATTCTGGAAGGAGCGTGCTATTGTCCTATAAACGGGTGCTTCCAAAACACTTAACAGATATGCCCCCTCCCTTCTCTTAAAGTGCTCTATTATCGTCTTTCTCTTTGGGGAGGGGAGGGCTGTCTGAACTTTATCATCTTCCTCTTATTTATTTCTTAGTTGAAATGTATTGGTTGTACATATTATGGAGTGCAGTGTTATATTTCAATACATGTATACAATGTGTCGTGATCCAATCAGGGTATTTAGCAAATTCACCACTGCAAAAATGTATTGTTCCTTCGTGATGAGAACATTTAATCTCTTCTCTTATTATTGTCTTTCTTGTAAAAACACAAAAATGTCCCTTGACACTACACCTCCCCTTTAGCTAACAAGTTCTCTTTTCCTGCTGCCTTTCACAGAAAAACTTCTCCAAAGTCTTGTCCATGCTCCCATCCTCACCTCCACTGACACCCCAACATGGTCTGATGTGGCTTCTGTGCTTTCTCCACTGACACTCAGGGCTCTGTGACCTCCTTGTTGCCAAACCCAGGGCACCTTTGTGTCCTGGTTCTTCGAGTCTCCAGAGGCTGTTCCTGTGTACATCCTGGTACCCATGGCAGAGGGCTGCTGAGCGGGGGGAGGGGATAGCACAGAGGAAGTGTGGGGCTGGCACAAGCTCCTGTTGAAGGGCCACTGTGATGGCGCATGCGCTCTTCTAGAGCCTTCTCTGATGCCTCACGCCCCTGGTTTGCCTCCTTACTTCCCTGGCCACTCCTCCACCTCCTCTGCCAGCTCTGCCCCTCTCCTCCAACCACACCCTCTTCCTGAGTAATCTGGTCCCAGCTTCAAGCACCAGGTGCACATTGACATTGCACATGACCTTCAGTCCCCTATCTGCGGTGTGACCTCTCCTAGACTTTTAGACTCTTCTACTTGACCAACGTTGGGATAGCTCCCCAGGGACAGCTAACAGGTGACCCACACATACATGCTGCAGACGGACTCCTGGTTTTCAGCCCCACTCTATTTTCTATGTCTCTGCCAGCATTCGCCATCCCAGAGAGTGCTGCCACCAGGCTGGTATGCGGCGAGCCCTCAGTGCTGCCTCCCGCCCTGCACCTCACATCAGCAAGTCCTGTTGGTTCTCTCTCAAACATGCAACTGGAATCCACACACCCCTCTCCATCCTCACTCTCACGGCTGTGTTCTAAGCCACCCACCGGTCACCAGAGGACACCAACAGCCCCCAACTGGGCTCCCAGCTTCCCTTAGCCCCCTCTCAATTCTATCCCCGAGAGCAGCTGGACAGACCCTACAAAGTGTGTCATAGTATCTGGTAGGGCAAGCATGTGACCGAATTCTTGCTTCTCAAAGGCTTCTTGATTATTGTTATTTATTTCTTCTTCGGACAAAATTTAGAAGCAAATGTTCTTTTTAAAGTAAATAATTCGGGCCGGCCCGTGGCTCACTCGGGAGAGTGCGGTGCTGATAACACCAAGGCCACGGGTTTGGATCCTATATAGGGATGG